CTTCTTGAAAAGAGTTAGCCCATTTAGCACAAAGGTCATAGGCAAGGGTAAAAGACTTGATGAATTCTTGGAGCTCAATGTGAATTTCAGGAGGAAGATCTGGGTATTCTAGCAAATCATCAACCATTTGCTCAACTTCAGTCTTAAATTCAAGGATGAGAAATGCATGGTCGAGATCCTCAACGTAAGCCTTTAAACAAAATGATTCAAGCAAGGGCTAGAAGTTGGCAACTGACTCAGGGGCTTTCTTAGAGGCGGAAGTGCCACTTGTCCAATTCTCTAAGACATTGAAGATATTATCAACTTCGATGTCATCATTGAAAAGGCTGATTAAGTCCAAATCAATAGAAGGTATTGAAACAAGAGTTGGCATGGAAGACTCGACACCACCTTGATTGGATTGTGAGGGAGTAAGAGGCCTAGGAGACGTAGCAACAGTCGAGTCTACACATAAAAGGAAACACAGTCAGTCTTAAAATAATCAATTGCAGTTGGAAAAGGGTAAAAGAAACATACCTGGACCAGGACTGATTGGAGGTTTTAACTCAAAGGACGGAGCTTCGCCTTGAGAAGATTCATGAGGAGTTTCAACATTAACTTACAGGTTTTTCCAACAAAGGAGTGCCACCCTGAGGAGTTGGGAGAGAAGTAATTTCGACACCCGTAGAAGCTCCTACGAAGGGAATGGTGATAGAATCCACTGGTAGAGTCACCAGCTGTACAATGGAATGCGAGTTAAGTACGAGAGAAACACGTAAAGAAAGGATATCATTCAAGAACTCCAAACCTCTTGGAAACACTCAGTTGAAGGAGGGATATCCTTGGAACCATCTCGAGAAGAAGAGATATTGATTACATCAACATCCTAAACACAAGAAAAGGTCTCTTTAGTGATTGAACAAGAGCTATAGTTAGTGAAGATCAAAGTACCTTAGGAAAAGATTTCATTGCATCCTGCAACAATTTTTTGACTTTTGGCACTTTATCAGGTTTAGAAGGGGCAACTTTCTATTTTCTTTTCCCTTTATCAAGCTTTCATGTTGTCGAAACATGAAGTAATAAAGCAATGAGTAAAGGAAGAACGCGAACGGTAAAAAAAAATATAATAATAAGAGTACTTACAATCTTGCCGCTCGTGGAATCCGCCTTGGTTTTCTATTTTTTAGAAGTCTCGAATTCCTGAGAAAGAAAAGAGGTATAAGAGTCAAATTATTGAAGCAATTATACAAGGAAATTGAACAATGATACCTTTGAACGTAAGGAAATTTTGTCAGAAACAGTCTTTCTTTTTCTAGGTTTCAATTGAGAATCTTCTCCACCATCATCATCACTCTCCCATTGGGGAGCTTCATCAGGATGTTGAGGAACACGTTGAGGGACAATAGCTATACCAAGTGAAAATAAGGGTAAGGTAATGGCAAGGAAGGAAATACAGAGAGAAGTTTTGTTATATACATTTACCAGGAGGAAGATTGCGGTTATCAACCCAACACAAAGGTCACCATTTCTCTCGAGGAAAATCGTACACGGAACATCTCGCGTAAATAACTCGATCTTTTACAAGAATGTCTTTGTGCTCTAGGTAAAAAGGATCGAGGGTCTTCATCCAAGGAGGATAAGATAAATGTTTGACTAAACCAAAACGAGCATTTGGAAAAGGGGGAAGATTTTTAGGGCAAAATTTTTTGAAATTTGTTTCCCCTCGAGGATTAATAATTTTTTTTGAACGGATGTTCCTTTATATCATTTTCGTTAAAGAGACAGAGGCATCAAAAATCATTGACCAATATTGTCGGGTCGATAACAAACCTTAAAATATTGCTCAAAATGATAAATAATATTACAATTCTTGTAAGTACCTGGTAATTTCGGGTCTCGCGAAGAAAGAAGAATTAATCAGCTTCTTCAAAAAATCATCAAAGGTGAATATTTTATCAACATAATATTCACACCACCAACGAAGAAAGCACTTAAAGACTAGAAAAGAGGCGGATAAAGTGCAAGGAGTCAGGGAAAGTTGTTTGTCAGGACGTAAGATAAAGTCCAGAATATCTTTGTAATCTCCTTTCTCGACACAAATGTCAGCATCAATTTTTTCTATACGGCAAAATGGAAGAGGTTTCATTTGGCATAGACCAAATTGCCGAGCAAACAATTGAGGTTGGTAGGGATAGATTCTAACATCCTTTTGTGGCATTCAGGACAGAATAACATCCCACGATAAAAAGCCAAACCACATATCGACAGAATCCGGAGAAATATTTCCAACCTGGTTATTACCTTGAAACCAAGAAGGACCTGTTAGATTAGGGCGTATGAAAGGAGCCAAGTCTTCGATGAATTCACCAAAACTAAGAATTGCTCGAATATATTTAGCAAAATAATTGACTGAGCGCTTTCGAGGTGTAAGGGTGGTCAAATGTGCTCCTTCGAGTTGGCACACAGGGGAAAGAAAAGAAGAAGTAAACAAAAAAAATTTCTCCAAGATAGCATTGAGCCATAATTGTAATAACCATAACGGTCCAGAAAGATTGCGGGGACCAGATTCACGAAAAAGACTCTCCGAGGCTTCATCGAGGCAAGAATATAGAGAGGCCAACATGAGTTTACTCAAACATATTTTCTTTTGTAAATGAAAAGCTTAGGCCAAGATATAATAGTACTTGGGAACTTGGAGAGAGGGAGTGTAGACAACACAAGTAGATAACCAATACATTAAAAAGGCAATGTGTTCTGAGGTCGAAATAGGAGTGTCCAATTTACCCATGTGCGCATTGATGAAGGCCAAATAGGTCTTTTTGTCCCAAGAAATAGAAGTTACTTTTATCAAAATCTCTTCCTTGAATACATCTGGGTAAAATCTATCCCCTATAGGAGCTAGGCCAGTAATAACAGCTATATCTAATAAAGTAGGACACACAAAACCACACGAAAACTTGAAAGCTCGAGTTTCTCTGTTTTAGAAGAAGATTGCAGAGAGAAGCATTTGAGGATCAAAGAGATGCAAGTCAAACTTGGACAATTGAATGAATTCAGATATACTAGCACCTGCCCACATAGAATGCATTGAACCCTCTACACGTTTTAACCATTGCAAATGCCTATCTTTGGTGGGGGGAAATGCCCTAAAAATCTTAGTAGTGTCACCAAACAAGGTCAAGTCTATTTTTGAAGAGTAAATAAATGGTAAAGTAGAAGAATCCTCAGGGAGCAAGGTATTGCCAAACTTTTTCCTATTCTGATTCATGAATGGACCTAGAAAAGCATGGGCGGCACCATCTTGAAGAGAGAAAGGGAGGAGTACCTGTGAATGATAAATCTTGAGGCTAGCCTCTTCCAAGCCTGTAATGGGAACGAAGGTCTCGTCACCATCTTACACGGTGCATACAGTAGCATTTTCCATCAACAGAGGAAGAGATTTCGTGGATGGAGCAAAAACGAGTGTGGGAGAAAGACCAGAGGCAGTGGCCGACGTAGAAGCCGTAGAGGAAGCCATGGCAACAGCAGAAAACAAGAAGAACAAGAAGGAAATAAGAGAGTTTAGAGAAGAAGAAGATTAGCATGCAAGAAATGATAAAGGCAACTTTTTACCCCAAGCACTAAAAAGAGATTCAAATAGAGAGATAAATGGGCCTGGATAAGATGGGCCAACATGTCAAATCAGCTGCCAAGCATTTCAAATCAACAGACAAAAGCATAAAGAAACGTAAGCATACGCCGTCATATATTTATTAGGGGCAGTAAATTTTTGAACAAAACGGTAACTACATTTAATAAGTGTTTCAGATTAGGTTTCCATCGAATAGGCGAAATAAGGAATTTTAGGTCTTTAGCCAAGAAGAGAGATTTAGAGAGATTAAAGGAGGGTCTGTTGAAAAAAAGAAAAGACAAGAAGGAATTTAATTCTCCCGCGTTCTAGCACGCCCTTCGAAACTAAATTCCTAAGGGGGAATCTATTAGAGTTACTCGATCGAATTTCATAGAACCTACTTGAAAAGGGAATCAAAGGAATACCTACTAAATAAACAAGTGCCAGGATGGACCATAGGAATGTATGTATTCGAGTATAGCTCGAAATTTATAATTTGAAAGGAGGTTACTACAAGAAAAATGTAAATTTCCGGCGAAAAATTTCCGACGGATATGGATCCATCGAAAATTTTCGACAGAATTTTCAGACAGATATTTCCGTCAGAAATTTTTTGACGGATTTATATTTCCATCGAAAATTTCCAACGAAAATTTTTGACGGAAAATTTCGTCGAAAATTTCTGATGGAAAAATTAATCCATCAGAAATTTTCGACGAAAAAATTTTGACGGAATATTCTGTCAAAAATTTCTGACGGATTTATATTTCCGTCGAAAATTTCTTATTTTTAAGATTATAACATATATATAAAAATGCTTGTAAATATTTTATTAAGTAACGAGTCTGGTGAGATTACATTTGTGGTGTGTTTGTATGTGCTTTACATATGAATGTTTTCTTTTCTTACCGTACAAATTGTGGATGTTTTAGGTGAGGAAGATCTGGCTACGAGTGGCATCTAGAATGCCAACGGTTGAATTGTGGGAATGCTCTGATATTGTGACATCGGGGCAGAGGATTTTTAGAACATAGTTTTTATATGGATTTGGAATTGTAAATGTTATTTTTGAAAATAATTTGTAAACTCTTGCGTTTCATTTTTATTATTTTGGTTATTGAAGAATAATTTTGAAGATCCTCATGTGAACCCTTTTACCGAAATTGAAAAATTTATTTGTAAGTTTTCATTATTACAATATATGTGTTGGGGTAGTAAGGGTGTCACATTTAGTGGTATCAGAGCAGGTCGATCCAATCGGCCGTGAGTTATGAGTCTACTATGCTTGTTTGGTAGATAATTGATGGAATGATTTGATTGTGGAATTTGTGGATATGTTAGTGCTATGATTGATTAAGTTTATTGTTTACTTATAGTATAATTGTTAACTTTTCTGGTGATCAAAAAAGTAATGGCAGGAGGTAGGAACGATCGTGCAATCGCTGATGCTCTACAAGCGATGGCTCAGGCTCTTGGTAATATGAACCAACAACCAGAGGTAGATTGGCTGGAGAGATTCCAGCGAAATAATCCACCTAGCTTCCGTGGGGGTTATAATCCTGATGGAGCTGCTGGCTGGATATTCGAAGTTGAAAAGATATTCCAAGCTATGGGATGTCCTTTGGCACAGAAGGTGACTTTGGCTGCCTTTATGCTTTCTGGAGAGGCTGGCATCTGGTGGCAAGGTGCTTTGCAAAGAATGATAGCTGTGGGTACCCTAGTGAACTGGGAGAATTTCAAGCAGTTATTCTTGGAGAAATACTTTCCCAGAGATGTGAGACATAAGAAACAAGTAGAATTCCTTGAATTGAAGCAAGGAGAGGATTCTGTGGCTGAGTATGTGACTAAGTTTGAAGACATAGTCAGATTTTGTCCTATGTATGATGGTGTGGGCAATGTGGAGGACAAATGTGTGAAGTTTGTGAGTGGTCTTCGCCCTGAGATTAAACAAGTTTTGAATTATCAAGGGATCGCTCACTATCATGAATTGGTAAACAAGTTCCGAGTATATGATGAGGACAACCGTGCTAGGGTAACTCATTATAAGAGTGGAGGACCCATGAGGAATAATAAGTTTGGGTCATCTAGTAAGGGTAAACCTTACACCAAGTCTGCCGGGAATTCAAGTTCTAAAGTGAATAATCAAGATTCTGTGCAACAAAGGAGCCAAGCTAGCCAAATGTCTAGAGGAGGGAGTGTGAGTTCTGTTCCACACAACAACTGCTTCAACTGTGGGAAGCCAGGGCATAGGGCAATTGAGTGTCGGATACCAAGAGCAATAACATGTTACAACTGTCAACAGAAGGGACACAAAGCTAATGAATGCCCCAATAACAAGAAAGGAACATATTATTTTTGAAAAAAATTTGTAAACTCTTGTGTTTCATTTTCTAAATTTTTTTTATTATTGTGGTTATTAAAGAACAATTTTGAAGATTCTCATGTGAACCCTGTTACCGAAATTGAAAAATTTATTTGTAAGTTTTCATTATTACAATATATGTTTTGGGGTAGTAAGGATGTCACATTTAGTGGTATCAAAGAAGGTCGATCCAATCGGCCGTGAGTTATGAGTCTACTATGCTTGTTTGGTAGATGAATGATGTAATGAATTGATTGTTGAACTTATTGATATGCTAGTATGACAATTGAATAATTTTGTTGTTTATTTTTAATTAGAGTATAATTGTTAACTTTTCTGGGGATCAAGAAAAGTAATGGCAAGAGGTAGGAACGATTGTGCAATTGCTGATGCTCTACAAGTGATGGCTCAGGTTCTTGGTAATTTGAACCAACAACTAGAGATAGATTGGTTGGAGAGATTCCAGCGAAATAATCCACCTAGCTTCCGTGGGGGTTATAATCCTGATGGAGCTGCTGGCTGGATATTCGAAGTTGAAAAGATATTCCAAGCTATGGGATGTCCTTTGGCACAGAAGGTGACTTTGGCTGCCTTTATGCTTTCTGGAGAGGCTGGCATCTGGTGGCAAGGTGCTTTGCAAAGAATGATAGCTGTGGGTACCCTAGTGAACTGGGAGAATTTCAAGCAGTTATTCTTGGAGAAATACTTTCCCAGAGATGTGAGACATAAGAAACAAGTAGAATTCCTTGAATTGAAGCAAGGAGAGGATTCTGTGGCTGAGTATGTGACTAAGTTTGAAGACATAGTCAGATTTTGTCCTATGTATGATGGTGTGGGCAATGTGGAGGACAAATGTGTGAAGTTTGTGAGTGGTCTTCGCCCTGAGATTAAACAAGTTTTGAATTATCAAGGGATCGCTCACTATCATGAATTGGTAAACAAGTTCCGAGTATATGATGAGGACAACCGTGCTAGGGTAACTCATTATAAGAGTGGAGGACCCATGAGGAATAATAAGTTTGGGTCATCTAGTAAGGGTAAACCTTACACCAAGTCTGCCGGGAATTCAAGTTCTAAAGTGAATAATCAAGATTCTGTGCAACAAAGGAGTCAAGCTAGCCAAATGTCTAGAGGA